TAAAAGGGAGCCTGCCAAGTGAAGAGCAGAGGGAAATCACGACGGGAAGAGGAAACAGCTGAGCCAAGGTCCTGAGCAGAGCAGCAGGCCTTCAGATACGTGGCTGGAGAGCAGTAAGCAAGGACGAGAGTGGGAGAGGAGGGCAGAGTGGGAACAGGAACAGGAACTGGATGGGTCTGGAATCCAGGGTTAAAAGTTGTTTTATTCTCAGTGCCATGGCAAGTCACTGGAGGGTTTTAAGCCCAAGAGTGAAGGATTCTGGATTTTTTTTTTTTTTTAAGAGAGATTTTTGGTATAGGGCGTGTGTACTCACCAGAGACAGAGAGACAGAAAGTGAGAAATTACTCCCTGACGGGAGTGATTCACCACAATCTCTTCTCCATTCTCCTCTTGGGATTTTGGGCACCCACGCAGATATGCCTGGTGTGAGTTTCAAGCCGCTCCGTCTGGGACTGGAACCTTGGTTGACTACGTGGGAGTCCACCGATGTAACCATTATGTCATCTGCTGGTCCCTGGATTTTTGTTTTTAAAAGCTCATTAGCAGGCCAGCCCCAAAGTACAGTGGTTAAGGGAAACAGATACCAGTTTGAATCCTGGCTGTGATGGCTTGAAATTCAGGCTAGGCATATGTGTGTGTGTGTGTCCTAAACTCTGAGATGGGGAAATGGAGAAGGGATTGCAGCATGACCACACTCCACTGGGAGTGCTTTCTCCCTCTCTCTCTGTCTCTTTCTTGTGAGTGCACATGCTGTCTGGCAATTTTAAAAAAAGGAAAAAGAAAGAAGAGCTCATTCGCTGCTATTGTAAGAATGCAGTGAAGTAGGGGGGCCAGCAGGTGGCATGTTGGTTAAGGTGCTGGACTCCCACATGACCCACAAGAGTTCAAGTCCCAGACCTGGCGGCTTGCTTTCTCACTCTCCCTCTCTTCTCTCTCTCTCTCTGTTAAAAATAATAATAAATAAATAAAAATTGCAAACAATTCTTCACAGGGCCAGCAGGTGGTGTGGTGGTTAAGGTGCTAGACACTCCCACATGGCCAACCACAGATCGAGTCCTGGACCTGGTGGGTTGTTTTCTCACTTTCCATCCCTCTGTGTGTCTGTCTTTGGTCAAATGAAAATGAATGAATGAATAAATAAAATGGAATAAATTCTTTAAAAAAATTCTTCATGGAAACAAAAAGGAAAAAATTAAGTGTGGATGCCAAGTATATTATGTCCCCAGGCTAGCACTGGCATATTGGTGTTGAACCTGGACAGCTTCTTAAAGGAGGGCAGTCAGACTCCTTCCTATGAGGCAGGAGTGTCCTCTGCTAGTCGATGCCCCACATGCCTGGCACCACAGGGCAATGCTGGTGCTCTAACAGCCAGGGAGAGGGAGGAGCCGGCACCCTTACTCTCACTCTATGCTCATCTTCCCTGCACAGTGGCCCTCAGCGCTGGCATACACATTCACGCTTGTTGAGTAGGAAAGAGTCAATAAGTGCTTTCAGGGCTAAATCTGAAAAGCCACTGATCACAGAGAAATCACTTCAGGGAACTCCAAGAGAGAGTTTAGTACATACACATCTGGGTTTAGGAGAAATGAGAGATCCGAAGGAGTTAAGACTTGAAATGAGACTTTAAAATTATTTTACATATATATATATTTTTTTTAATTTATATTTTTTAATACATTCAATCAGAAATGAGACTTTTAAGCTAGACCTTGAAGGGTAAGTCATGTCAGCACACTAACAAACTCACAGAGAGACTACCAAATACATTTCGGGAAAGTGTTCCTACAGAGTTAAACTTTTAAACCAAATCATAAAGTTTCAGTGTGGTGATGTACGAAGTCTCCTGAGACCGAATAACCGAATGACTCGCAGGCTTGCAGGCTCTTTTTGGGACAAGGGTGTGTATATATTTGTACAAGCCCATGTTCCTGTGCAGAGCGTACCACTGTGTTTGCATCTGGTATATAACCACCTGTCCTGGCCTCAGGGGCAGGAACTGTTATATGGGTCTTTGTGTTCCCATAGCTTTTGCATAGCAATCCTTAGAGACTGTTAAATAACAATTATAGGTGGGTACTAAACTACTGCTTTAGGCTCTAGCAAGTCAAACCAAAATGAAGTCACTTATGCTAAAATGCCACATCATCAAATTGAAACTTCCAAGATGATAGCTCCTGGAATAGAATAGTTTTTCCCAACAATGAGAGGCTCCGGTTTACCTGAGCCAGCACTCTAAGGAAATAAAATGTATGCCCATCTTATAACTTGCTTAAGAATGTGCAAGGATGGGACCATTAGTTAGTGTAATGGCTATGTCACTGAACTCCCATGTAGTCGACCGCGGTTCAAGTACTGGACCTGGTGGCTTAAAACTCACGCTGGGAGCGTGTGCGTGCATGCCCAAGATCCCGAGAGGAGAATGGGGGAGAAGGGATTGCGGTGTGGCCATCCCCCCCCTGGGGGGTGATCTCTCACTTCCTGTCTCTCTGTCTCTCTCTGTCTTTCTTGTGAGTACATGCACCTTATAGCAAAAACCTCTCAAAAAAAAAAAAAAGAAAGAATGTGCAAGGAAATAGATGTAACCTAGACTCACTGAACTTTTTTTTTTACAAACATCATTAACCAAACACATTCCTCTTTTACCTGCCATCAGTCATGTCTATTAGTTATAACCTTCAAAATGTTTCAGCTATGGGGACCAGCGGGTGGCGTGGTGGTTAAGGCGCTGGACACTCCCACATGGCTGACCATGGTTTAAGTCCTGGACCTGGTGGCTTGCTTTCTCATTTTCCTCTCTCTCTGTGTCTCTCTCTGGTCAAATTAAAATGAATAAATAAATAATAAATCTTTAAAGACATGTTTCAGTTACAACACCAGACAGACTGTGACTCCAGATGTTGCTTAAGATGAAGCAAAATGACTCCAGATGACTATGAGGTCATCCTGCTCCCTTATCATAGAACTCAGCCATTCATAGCTGTACCGGACTCCTTGCTAGCCTCGTCTCCCACCTGTGCTTTTTGCCTCTCAAATAATCCTAACACCTCAGTAGGCATTATTCAGAGCAGTTTGGATTCTGTGGTGCAGGGCGCGATCAAAATTAACCATGGCTCAAATAAACTCTCTTGCTTTGCTTACTTTGCATCAGCATTTCTCTTAGGATGACAAGCGCACTCATTTTCCAGCCCGTTTTACAGCTGTTCTGACACGAAAAGGTTAGTTTTATGTTCTTTTCTAAGTGACGAAAGCTATTGCCTATTACCTCAGTCTATCAGTTTTGTGTAGAAAGTAATGCAGAAGGGCCGGCAGGTGGTTAGTGGTTGGGGGCGCTGGAGTCCTACTTAGCCCAGCACGGTTCCAGTCCCGGACTGGCGGCTTGCTTTCTCACTTTCCCCCTCTCTCTCACTCTGTCCCTCTCTGATAAAATTAAAATAAGTAAATAAACAAATAAATAAATACGTTCTTTTTCTAAAAAGAAGAAAGTAATGCAGACAAGCTGAAAAATAAATTCTAAATTTTTTCCAGCAATTGTACTCTTTCTTGAATGCGTGCTTTATGTGACAGTGAAGGAGGGGCTATCTGGCAGGAAGCTTCTACCTCAAATCAAAATGACTTTTTTAAAAACAAAAATTAGCTTGGTCTTTGGCCCTTTAACGACTTGGACCCTCCTTCTTTGCGGTTTCCTTTACCAAGATGGCCGCCGTGGAGCTCTTCTCTCATTGGTCGGATTTTCCGCAGGTGCCGGCCATAGCCCCGTCCCCGGCCCCCCATTGGGCAGTAACCTCCGGGGAGCGTAGACCGGCAGGCGTGGGCGGGGCGGGCGCTGGACGTGACGTTTCCGGGAACCCCGAGGGTCA